CCGTGTCCACAGGACGTGCCGAGTACCGCTCCCGTCGCCGAACACGTGCCGCCGCCGCCGCCGTTGCTATCAGTGCGATCGTTGTTGTTAACACACACGCGCGCCGCCGCCGACACATTTCGTACACGCCAAAACAAACGACAACGTTTTTATTTCGTTTCATATGTTATATTGTATCGTGTATTGATATATTAAGTTATATGTATATTATTTATGATAATAATAAAATATAACATACACGATCGTCGTTATCTGTACAAAATTTTATATAATTTTTCGCAGTTATTATTTTCATTACTATCATTTTGTGTCAAAAAATACAATTAACAAGTAGTGGTAAATACGCCAGACACACACATACACACATACACACACATTTACAAACATACACACATATTTTATCATACTTGACAGCGWACGACGGACATTGGCAGTATCGTTTTGTCTTTACGCTCTGACGAACATATTAAATATTATTATTTTACATTAATAATAATTCATAATTTACAATATTTGTCGTCACCTCCACGCGCGCGCATGTAGTGCGTTTGGGACACAGTGCGCCGTGTATTTGTACTATATTTAGACGGTGAATTATTGTTGGACGGACACAGTGTATWTTAAATAATTTCTATCCCGCGGATTGTTTGTGTATATTATATCTTAACCGTTTTTACTGTTATCAACTTATCATCACCGACCKAGTGCGATCAGACTTCGCCCACCTGACGAGTCGGACACGTCCGATATCGTCTTCAATCTTGGCGAGAAACAAGAGCGCTCCGACGTCCACGCAATACCACTCCAGGTAAATTTCATCATTTTATATATTAATACTGCCGTTGTACGATAGTTTGTTTTTTGTATTCGCTATATTATTGCATTCGATAGACGACGTCATTGGATGAAAACCGATTCGCGAAGTAGATCGGTGAATAATAATAATAATAATAATAATAATAATAATGATGATGATGATGATAATAAATAATAATAATAACGTGCGAGGGGACTGTGTTGGCTGGAAAAATAAAATCGATTCTTCTTCTTCTTCGAGGGTTGTTACGATAATTAGGTTTTGAGACCACCACCGCACGGCTGATGAGGGGTTCGTAGTTTTCCATACGCGCGCGGCCCCGCGGGGACGATCGGTCGACGAACGTTGCATAATGCTGAATTGACAGTATGGATAATATTATCGTTTTTTTTTTCTCATTTCATGATATWATACTATTGCAAATAGGAATGCGATTCCTAAAATATCTCACTGTATAGTCATTATATTCTGTTATTCTATAATGTGCGTACGGTTTTAATTGACTTGATAACGCGATCGGTGTATGATCAATTAGGCATTTACAGGAAATGTCTTTCGTTAGAATTTATTTTTAAATGCAAAATTAAGCTTGTGTCGAAAGTTATCAAACCTCATGATTTACGTTCATTTTTAACCTCGTTTTTAACTATCTATATTATACCAAAGTTCACTTGCTGTCCACAAAACGAGCACTGCATATTTTACTTAAAACAAAATAGCTCTTTTTTCTTAATCAAAACTTATTCAATTTAATAAAATATTCTATATTTTTTATATACTTATACGTTTTAATTTTAAAATTAATAATTCCTGAAGTAATTTTTACTTTTTACGTTTTGTAATTTATTATTCTTATACCTATTTTCCAAAATTTCAATAATCCAATTGGTTTTTCGATAAAATAGAAAACTAAGTTAACTAGAAATGTTATATATTTTCTATATTTACAATTAAAAATATTGAAATTATTATTTTTTTATATATTATTATTATTATTTTTTTTTTTTGAGTAATTTAAAAAATGATAAAATATGAATTAGGATCAAGGTTTTAGATTCGAGATATTGAATTATAACTTCTGGAGTATAAGTAGAATAACGTACACAGTRTGTATGTAAGGTATTAAAAATAACCATATAACCACTAAAATATCTAGAAAAAAGTTTGTAGTATATTTATAGGTATAAAAATAACTCGTACTTGGGTCAATAACCCTATAATAATATATTATATWGCATAGCATTTATTGGAAAATTGACCTACAACCTTTAGAGGCCAATCTCATTAAATATCAATACAGGATTAGAGCTTTCTTTTTTTTCTTCATTTTTAACAAGAAATGTCGATGGTGATTAATAATGAAAAATGAACGTTATTTTTGATAATTATACATATTAAATTGTTTGTCTTTTCGGCTTAGTATAGTTTCTTCCAGACTTATTTCTTCTACCCGCCGTCCCATACACTGACCACGGTATTGCGCATATATAGTGAGTGTATGYCGAGTGGGCATCGGGGAGTTGGGGCGAAACGTCGTAAATCTCGTAAAGTTGACTCGGACGACGACCTCCCTTCTCGCAGTGTGAGACGAAATTCATTCTCTCCCGCCATATCTCTCTTTATATATAATGTATATATATATATATGTATTGCAATTCGTCTTGAGTTTGTTTTCCTTCGTTTGCGCAAAACTCGAGAATCTATCGTACTCATATTATCATCGTGTGAACGGCCGTCTTCATACGACTATCAATCATAATTCATGTATAGTAAATAAATAATTATATGTCCGGCCGAATAATAGGTTGGTAGTACGGTAGGTTGCGTGCGTGCAAAAAAATACTTAAAAATAAAAATTGACGTCCCGTCCGATTTATAATGTAATTTTACAATATTATATCCACCTATGTGTAGCGATAATAATATTATAATCACTCGGTAAACCGGTCTATACTGTTGGCGKAAGTAAATAATATAAATATATCTATGCATGCAGCGGTGGCGTTAATGAGCGGGCGAAAAGCTCCTATCGTCCGACCAATTAAAACGCCGCCGCGGACGATTATGTATGCGCGCGTCCCGGTGGAGGCGTGGCTGATAAAACAGAATAGATAATGAGACACCAACCCTGTGCATATATTAATTAAAAAAGCTCCCCTCGCGTTCCCCTCGCTCAAGGCCGCCCAAAGCTCCGTCGCGCCGCTGCCCGTTTTGCGTCCGTGCGATGAGTGCGTTCGCTGGGGGAGGTGGCGATGGTGTGGTAATGCCGCGCCCGGGCGGGGGCTCTTTTGAATATGCGCGCGCGGCACGGTGACGACGACGACAACGACGACGACGACCGAGGCGGCGGCGGGGCACGTCGTTCTCCAGCATTAGCATATATACCACCCCTCCGCGTGACGAACGCCGCTCTGCTACCGCCGCCTCCACCCTCCACGCCGACGACCCCGCGGGCCAACGGTTTGTCGGGTTCTAGTGCGCGTGCACGGCCGCCTCCTCCTCATCCGTCTCCGCAACTCTGCCGCCACTTACTACTCCTCCTCCTACTACTTACTATACGACTCGGCGACGACGATGACGACGACAACGAATGCCTGCTGTATGCATATATACATGTACGGAGGCGGCGGGGCCACCGTCACCCCTATATCACCTCATCGCCATCCCCACCACGTGAAGACGCTTAATTATACGAAGCGGGCGCGGGGGCRAACAACCACTGCCGCTGCCACCCCTACGGATGACGGCGCGCGCGAGGGGGTCGGGCGTGCGGAAAGCGTGCGTGGCGGCGGCGGCGGCGGCCCCTTTTCCCATGCAAAACAGAAGCGTCCCGGCGCTGCCGCAGGCTCACGCGCGCTCTCCAGCAAAAAAATAATCGCGCGGCCCCGACAGTTCCAAATAACCATTCGCTCTGTGATAATATACGGTCTGTGTAGTTCCTCAAATTATTATTATTATTATTATTATCATTATTATTATTATTATTATTAAATATAATTCTTATTATAATTTTTTCCGCGGTCACTAATTATTTTTTTCTTTTTCATTCGAGTCTATAATTTTGTTGCGTTTTTCTCGTCTTGGATTTTTTTCCGCAAACAATCTTTGTGTATTTTATGATAAATTAAATTTTGTTTTAATGAGCACGCTCGGTGTCACGGCCACGACGGCCGCCGTCTGTGATGGACAGTGTTTGATTTTTCATACGCGAAACGCCACCGGTAATAACGACGGGACGAGATAAATAAAAAGTTATTTAATTTATTTAAACATTTTCCGCGAGTGTATTTACGGATAGCGTGGCTATATATTTCCGTCGGGCCGACGTCGTTCGCGGTCCCGTCGCAGTCGGACACTACTGACTATTATCGTGAGTACTTTAAAACGAACACATATTTTGCACGCTCGTTGCACATTTTTTTTTTTTAATTCTCTCCTCGTATTTTTTCCATCAAATGATATCTGCGCGCGGCTAAGGAATTTAGGTGTCGTACTTTGAAAAAAAAAAATTTTCTACTGTCTATTGGTACCTCTATTCACTTTCAGCATGATATAAAATTTAAATTAAATAGTCACCGTGGAAATTCATATTTTTGAATTATTTAACTTTTATTTCGTTGAAATACGATGATATTTAAATATTACCTAAACTTAAACTTTTTTAAGACCAAGTTTGTTAAAATGTTTAAAAAAAATAACTCWTCAATTATCGTTTGTCTATAGACATTYATATTAATATATCAATTATACAACGATGGGCTGTTCGCCCGGTTTTTTTGATTAATCCTGTATTTGTAAGACCAGTAAACCAGTGTTGTTACCGTAAAAGTCTGTTATTGTGCAATGAYTTTACAGTTTCAATTAACGAGCCATATTATTTTATATAATTAAAGTTGTTCCTATACATAATTATATTATTGCTTGATCTCGTGGTAAATTGACTAATAAGTTCTCCTTGAAAGTATATGTGTTTATAGTTTCTGTTAAATACTCTATTGGTTGGTTCTTCTCAAAATCCGATGTTACAAAACCTGAATTTTTTTTTAATACCAGTTTGTTATTTATTATTATGTTTGACGTCCCATTTTTTGGAAACTACCGCAGCAGCAGTACAGTTTAATGATTATATCCATAAGCCTTAATAATTATTAGACAACATGAAAATATGAAATCCTAGTCATAGTGTGCGTGGTTCGGTGTTGGCACCCTTGTGTTCTCTCGTCTAAGCACGTTTCCACCCTCGTATATTTAGACACCACCGCTTTTGCCTCCACCTCCGCTCTATGGGTCTCCGGGGTTTTTCTTAGTTAGTTCGCGCTAATCCTATTAACCGATATCGATTTTTTTCCCCGCACATTACATAATGACGCGCGCGAGTATATATATTTATATATATATATATGTGTGTGTTGTGCCAGAGTGAATTTGGCAACGGAGCAGTTAGTTTTTAAAAAGGGGAAAAATATATAAAATATATTATCTAAAACTCTTTGGTTTTGTAGTAGCTCAACTAATGTTWGTTTATTATTATATAATATTGTATTGTGTATACGCTTCAAGTCAAAAAGTGGAGTCTCATGCGTGTGAGTGTGGGCACAGTGTAGATCAGTMGCCGCACGGCGGATAAAATCCTTCAACCATATAGCTAGGTAAGACTTTAAGATGAATCCATTACTAACGCGCAAGGCATAAAATATATCTGGCAAACTTATTTAATATAAACGGTTAGAAGAGCGTAGGAAATGAAAAAAAAAATAAATAAATAAAAGGAAAAGCTGTTGTAAAACTATTGATTATTCACCGCCCCCCAGCCCGTCTCCCTTCGTTTCCCTATCACTCGTGCGTATATATTTACGCGCGCGTGTGTGTTTATTTGTACATATGTGTGTGTGTGTGTGTGTGTGCATGTGGCTGATGAACCGCGTGTTTGGTAGACGCATTCTTTTTTTCCTTTTCTTGTTTCTTTTCCACCCCCGCATACACATACACAC